GGGCCTGAGGATTACAGTGAAACTGACCATTCAGAACAGACAGGCCCAGATTGAGGTGGTGCCTTCTGCCTCTGCCCTGATCATCAAAGCCCTCAAGGAACCACCAAGAGACAGAAAGAAACAGAAAAACATTAAACACAGTGGGAACATCACTTTTGATGAGATCATCAACATTGCTCGACAGATGCGGCACCGATCCTTAGCCAGAGAACTCTCTGGAACCATTAAAGAGATCCTGGGGACTGCCCAGTCTGTGGGCTGTAATGTTGATGGCCGCCACCCTCATGACATCATAGATGACATCAACAGTGGTGCTGTGGAATGCCCAGCCAGTTAAGCACAAAAGAAAGTATTTCAATAAAGGATCATTTGACAACTGGTGGAAAAAAAAAAAAAAAAGAATCACATCCACGAAGAAACAAGGCATCTTGAAAAAAAGCAAGCAGAAACAACATAATCAGATCAGTAAGGACTTCAGAAATTGGAATTGACAGATGTAGAATGTAAAACAAAAGCAGAAATAGAAAATACGACTAAGAACAAGACACCATAAAAATGACCAAGCAGGCTGGGCATGGTGGCTGACATCTGTAATCCCAGCACTTTGGGAGGCTGAGGCAGATTGCTTGAGGCCAGTAGTTCAAGACCAGCTTGGGCAACATAAGGAGACCCACATCTCTACAAAAAATAAAATAAAATTAGCTGGGCATGGTGGCATATGCCCTTGGTCCCAGCTACTTGGGAAGCTGAGGTGGGAGGACAGCTTCAGCCCAAGTGATTGAGGCTATAGTGAGCTCTGATGGCCCCACTGCGCTCCAGCCTGGGCAACAGAGTGAAACCGTGTTTCAATAAATAAAAATACAAAATATTTTTCTTCATTAATGTAGACTGTAAAACTATCTTGATTAAAAGTTAAGATGATTATAAAAACAAGTTATAAATATATGATTACGTTTCACCAGAGTTTTATACACTTTGAGGTTACAGTTCACAGACCGTGTAGCCCTATTGTATATATTGCAAACCTGCATGCAGTTAGGCTTTTCTCCTCACACAACGGTTGGGAAAGTTGCTCTAATAATAGAGATAGGGGCTGGGCGCGGTGGCTCACGCCTATAATCCCAGCACTTTGGGAGGCCGAGGCGGGTGGATCACAAGGTCAGGAGATCGAGACCACGGTGAAACCCTGTCTCTACTAAGAATACAAAAAATTAGCCGGGCACGGTGGCGGGCGCCTGTAGTCCCAGCTACTCAGGAGGCTGAGGTAGGAGAATGGCGGGAACCCGGGAGGCGGAGCTTGCAGTGAGCCGAGATCGCGCCACTGCACTCCAGCCAGGGGGACACAGCGAGACTCCGCCTCAAAAAAAAAAAAAAAAAAAAAAAAAGAGATAGGTTTGTACCAGCACCTGTCAGTTTGTTCTAACAACAATGAACCAACTGGTCTGTAACAAAGCCAAAACTGCAAGTGTTCTCTTTCTATAATTCCAGTTATTATAATAAAAAGTAATGACAATAGCTAACATTTATTGAGCTCTTAAATATTCCAGGAACTACTCTATATACTTTCATGTAACTGGTTTATTTCTTAAATAATCCTATGAAATAGATATTAGTATTTATACTCATTTTATAGATAAACTGAGGCTCAAAGAAGTTAAGCAACTAGCCAAGAATCTAAATAAAGTTAGTGTCAGAGCCAGTGGTCAAGCCCAGGTTGTCTGGCAACAAAGTCGGTATCTTTTTTTTTTTTTTTTTTTTGAGACGGAGTCTCGCTCTGTTGCCCAGGCTGGAACGTGGTGGCGCAAGCTCTGCTCACTGCAAGCTCCACCTCCCGTGTTCACGCCATTCTCCTGCCTCAGCCTCCCAAGTAGCTTGGACTACAGGTGCCCAATGCCACGCCCGGCTAATTTTTGTATTTTTAGTAGAGACGGGGTTTCACCATGTTAGCCAGGATGGTCTTGATCTCCTGACCTCGTGATCCACCCACCTTGGCCTCCCAAAATGCTGGGATTACAGGCGTGAACCACCGCGCCCGGCCCGAAGTCTGTACTTTCAATCATTGTATGACACTGCTTCTCATGGGGATCATGTTGTAGAGCAGGGTTGGCAAACTATAGCCCATGGGTCAAATCGGGCCTACTACTTAAAAAAAAATTATTATGGTAAAATACACATAACTTACCATTTTACCATTTTACACTCATATTACTTGACAACAGGGATACCTTCTGAGAATGGCATTATTAGGTGATTTTGTTGTTGTGTGAATGTCTGAGTGTATTCACACAAACCTAGGTGGTACAGCCTATTACACACCTAAGCTAAATGGTTTAGCCTGCTGCTCCTAGGCACAGGCCTGTACAGCATGTTACTGTACTGATTACTGGAGGCAACTATAACACAATGGTAAGTATTTGTATATTTAAACAAGCCTGAACATAGAAAGAGTACAATAAAATTATGGTACAAAAAACAAAAATGGTACACTGGTATAGGTTACTTAACCATGAATGGGGCTCACAGGAATGAAAGTTGCTCTGAGTGAGTCACTGAGTGAGTGGTGAGTGAATGTGAAGGCCTAGGTCATTACTGTACTGTCTATAAACACTGTACACTTTGGTTATACTACAATTTTTAAAATTTCTTTTTCTTCAATAAATTACCTTTAGTTGTACTTTTTGACTTTATAAATTTATTTTTTTAACTTTTTGATCCTTTTGAAATAACAGCTTAAGACACAAAACACTGTACAACTGTACAAAAATATTTTTATTTCCTTATTCTATGAGGTTTGCCTATTTTTAAATTAATTTTTACTATTTAATCTTTTTGTTAAAATCTAAGACACAAACACACACATTAGCCTAGGCCTATATAGGGTCAGGATCATCAATATCACTGTCTTCCACCTACCGATCCTGTCCCACCGGAAGATCTTCAAAGGGTGTGTAACACACATGGAGCTGTCATCTCCTGTGATAGCAATGCCTTCTTCTGGAATACCTCCGGAAGGACCTACCTGAGGCTATTTTACAGTTAACTTTAAAAAACATGGTAGGAGAACACTCTAAAATAATGATAAAAATATAGTATATACATAAACCAGTAATATAATCGTTTATTATGAAGTATATGTACTGTACATAATTGTTTACACTGTATGTTTATATGACTGGCAGTGCAGTAGGTTTGTTTATATTAGCATCACCACAAACACATCAACACATCAGTAATGAGTTGTGCTTTGACTTTATGACAGCTACAATGTCATTAGGTGATAGGAGTTTTTCAGCTCCATTATAATCTTACGAGACCATCATATATGTGGTCCAACGTTGACCAAAATGTCATTATGCCACACATGACTGTATACAATTCAGCAGCATTAGTTACATTCATCATGATGTGCAACCCTTACCTCTAGTTAAATAACTTTTTATCACCCCAAAAAGAAACCCCATACGAATGCCTGTTTTTGAAAATAACGTTGTGGCTGGGCGCGGTGGCTCACACCTGTAATCCCAGCACTTTGGGAGGCCGAGGTGGGTGGATCACCTGAGGTCGGGAGTTTGAGACCAGCCTGGCCAACATGGTGAAACCCCATCTCTACTAAAAATACAAAAATTAGCCGGGGGTGGTGGCGGGCTTCTGTAATCAGAGCTGCGTGGGAGGCTGAGGCAGGAGAACCACTTGAACTCAGGAGGCAGAGGTTGCAGTGAGCCAAGATCACACCACTGCACTCCAACCTGGGCAACAGAGCTAGACTCTGTCTCAAAAAAAAAAAGAATTAAAAAAAGTAATAATCATTTGTTTATTCTCATAGTGGTATAATATTCCATTGTATGAATATATCACGTTCTACTGTTGATGGACATGTGGGTAGTTTCTGATGTATGTTTTCTAGCATATAGTGATATTTATGAACATTCTTGCACATATCTTTTGGCGAACATATGTACTGAGTATATACTACTGTACACAGCCAAGCCCAATCATTTACATCTTATTTATGACTGCTTTCATGCTACAAGGGCAGAGTTGAGTAGTTGCAACAGAGACTGTATGGTTGTCAAAGACGAACCATAGTCTTGTATAGTCAAAGACTATACACCG